GTGTACCATTATTTGATTGTGTTTGTAGTGTTGGAGGGAATATAAGTGTCTAAATTTTACAGTGTGTCTCATTCATCCCAGTCACAGACGCTATCCTTCCACGGGTCACGGACAATTCATTTTGTTTAGTAGATTTAAGTGTTCTTGTGCTGGTTCGGGATTTTTCTCAAAGGGGCGCTTCCACTGCCATTACCATCTTATAATCTTTAATAAACCCCAAGTCCAGTAAATAAAGTCCGTATTTCCGACCCGGTTGCCATATATATATATATATATGTATATATATATATATATATATATATATATATATATATATATATATATATATATATGTATATATATATATATATATATATATATATATATATATATATATATATATATATATATATATATATATATATATATATATATATATATATATATATATATATATATATATAGAGGTTTCTTTTGACCATTGTATTTATTTGTTTCTTTTATTTTCTTCAATTTCATAATAGTTTTTAAGACGGTATTTATTTGATCATTTTATTTGTCTAATAGTTTACACATAATCCAACGTTTGCATTAGAAAGCAGCGCTCTTTTATAAGTCCGTCTTTATGTTAATTATAGCTTGGGGTGGGCGTATAGGTAGGGGCAGGCCTATAGGCAGGCGCTGGCTGATAACTGGGGGCGGGTTGGTAGGCTGAGTACTGGGCCTCACCCTCATATTCAACTTGAGCCACGTAACCGGAGTCGCCGTTCACGGTGTAGGTAACCCTCTGCAAACGACCGTCAGGAAGCTGAACATAATAGGATCCCTGAGTATCAATATCATTGCGACCTTCGTTGTGAGCCATAGTCGTTGCCGGAGTTTTGCGTCGTTCACTGACCAGTCACCCAAAGAGTTGTATGAGCACGACCCTGGAAGTCAAAATGATACACAAGTCAAGTTATAATCGTAGCATGTCATGGAAATAAATAAAAAATATCGTAACTTAAGGACAAGGACAATTTAACGGATTATATAGTTTCTTTTTATCATAATTATATTGAAAAATACAATCGTAGAGAAAATATGATTCAGTCATAAGATATAAACACACGCGACAACTTACAGTAGGGGCAGGAGCGTTGTAGGAGGGATGTGGAGGGGTGTAGGGGATAGTGTCAGCGATAGTGACGGCCACAAGGACAGCGATGACGAAAACCTGAAAACCACCGAATCATGACGTAATTCAAAGCAAAATAGGACCTCAAGTTTATTTTTTTCAAAGCACAGTGATCACAGCAATATACATCATCCCCATTTGTTTACCTTAAGAACCATGTTGAGGTGTGAGGGAAGAACGTGACTAGTGTCCACTGATGGACGCGCCAGGTTTATATACCGGAGGCTCCGCCCATCTTGTCGTGACGTTAAATGTAAGAAGGAAAGCAACAGAGACCTTGACCCTGTTAGTGACCAGGGGACTTGGCCACCATTTAACAACTTGCTGAGGAGGCCAGAGAAAAGATCATACATGAGGAGCTTAATGACATCCATCACACTCCTAGAACGAAATCGGTCATATTTCTTTTTAACATTTGAAGCATCTTGTATCGCTTCACTCATGAGGATGTTCATATGTGTGATTTATGATTGAGTGATTTCTATTTTGGAGTTGCACTTTTATAGAGAATCAATGAGTTCTTATGCTTACTTATGGGGAAAGGGTATATTTTTTATATTTAATAATTTTCTACTTCACATTTGTGCTGTTGCTTTTTGTTATTACTAGTGATTCCTCCGCTGCATCATATACTGACACCCCCTTAAACATCTCATACTGAGTAAGCTAGTGAATATCTTAACAATGCTCAGAAGTAGCCTAGTAAAACTTAAATGCAAAGATTTTTAATATGTGTTTGAATAATTCCAATTAACTGTACGGCATTAAAATACAAGAGGTGGAGTGCTTGTCACAGTTATTGTAAAATCGTGTCATAAGATCAATGTCAGGCTAATTGTGAAACGGACTCCTTCGTATAAATTATGTGTCTCATGTTTAAGATAAAAACATAACTGTTGTAATGGATGCCGATCAAACCTACCAAACCACTATCTTCGGAATTGATGTCTTATTGTGGATAAACAGTTGATCAGCTTTTATTTTTATATCTGGTACTAATTTGTTTCAACTGTAGATAATTAATTTGTTGTTCACCTCATTTTAGGGGTGTCAATTTAGGTGTGCAAAGTAATAAGTTTAGAGTTTGAAAGACAACTAGTAAATAAATTATACATTTGTGTATGCTAAATCGAAATATGGCTTCAAAATCCGGATTTGACCACCCCGAGCTATTTATATTTTGAGTAGAAATTCACGAAAAACTTGCAATTTTTGCATATTTGTATTCTATGTAACGACATTTTATGAGAGAGTCAGGTTACCAGAAAGGTTTTATGAACTTTACCAAGGTGGTCATGTCTTCCTTGTTCCTGTTTATGGACATGAGTACCCTACAGGCTACCTGGCCCCTGGTGTACGCCTCTCTCCTCTCCTTTCAGTAAACATTTTGTGCTGCTTCAGTTGTCATCCTCACACACCTCTCTACTGACTGTGTGTGTGAGGGCCATGCAGGAACTTCCATTGGTCTATCCAGAAACTCCATGATTGCAGCAGTGGTGAGGGAACAAGTCAGTGGAGGCTCGGTTACTCCAGAGTTCCATTCAATAAGCTCCGAGAGTTTGGTGGATTATGGGTTAACGTCAGGAGTCCTCCTGGATCTGACACTGCATTCTCCTACATGTGTGTCCTTATCTCCTTCACCTCTGATTTCCAGTATCCTTTTCACAGCTTTCCTCCTTCCTCCTCCACCTCATTGCACAGTATGGCCTGGAGCACAGCCTCAGAGTGTGCATACATGCTGATATCTTTACTGTAGGCATCACTATTCCTACCACATCCTTCGTCGGACCCTTTGAGCAGTTTCAGCTGGCACAGTACATGCTTGGGACCCTCCACCCAGCTCTGATTTAACTATGAATTCCACAATTATCCTCAGATGTTTCAGCCCTTCAGCTCATGTTTGGAAATCCACAATTTGCAGAACCTTAGAGCAGTGGTGAGCCACCTACTGTGACAGACTGGCCCAATCTCCAAGAGAGCTAGACTCTGAGTTGCCTCTCCTGATCTGATGGCAGTGATGATTCTGTAGCCATATGTTTGGTCTGTGCTGAGATCCTTGACTACCTCCTGAGCGAGATTGGGTAGAGGAGGACGAACAGTGATCCTCGTGAAGTTTGGGTTGATCTCCAGTTCAATGGCAGTGTCTAACACCTTCCCTAGGGGCCCGACCTCCTGTTGTTGCTCAATGTCTCTTCATCCAGTACAGTCACTAGGTGTCTGAGACTCAACTCCCCTGTGTGCAAGTCACAGACAATCCACACCAACTTCCTGCCGAGCTTGGCCTCCACATAATGCATTACTCCTCCCTCCCAGCCAGTATTCACATTCGTGCTATCACCTCCTATGGCCAAAAGGATCTGGTCTGCTCCTCTCTCTTTTAGGCAGTTCACTAAATGATCAACAATGACCTCAGCATGACTTCTCTCCTCTGTAGCTTCCTCTGGTATAAAATGCCACAAGTATTTCCCGCCTGGTTTATTGCACACTGTGTAGTGTGTTTCTTTAATTAAAGCTTATTCTGCATAAAACAATGAAGAGAGTAATGTTGAAATGTCCTTATTATCTAAGATTATAGATCTAAAAGAATTTATATCAATATGATCAGTGAGGTTTCGACAATAACGATTTAGATGAACTAAGCTGTGAATAGAATGAATATTCCTAATACAAGTTGAATGAAAACTTAAACCTCTGTACTATATACTGTACAGTGTGGTTGAGCAAAGAGTACATTAAATTGGAGGATGAAATCTATGGATAATTCTACACCATAATTTCTCTATGGTAAAATGTCCGGTTTGCATAGTTTCCATGTTACAATACATTTAAGATGTATTAATGAGAGTGAATTTGAAGTGAAAACCCCTCCCCCCTGTAAATGACTTTATCTCATTCGGTCGTCACGGTCCCTATTTCATTGCACCTGTGTCAGCCATCTGTATAATACTGTACTGCTGTATATAAGACATCTAAGAATAAATTAATACAAAAACCTTTCGGTGGTTTCACATCAAATTCACTCTCATTAATACAACAGCTTCAATGTATTGTAACATGGAAACTATGCAGAAAGTGACATTTTATCACAGAGACGTTGTGGGTTAGAATTATCCAAGGATTTCATCCTCCAATTTAATGTACTCTTTGCTGAATCACCCTTATAAAGTATTTAATTACTCAGGACCCTAAGAGTATTGAAGCGGATAATGTAAATAGTGTGTATATGAGGAAGTCAACTGCGTGTGTTCAGCGAGGTTATCATCAGCTATACGAGAATTACAAATATTAAATATATGTTTCATATCTCTCATCTATCAGGCAGTGCTTTTAGCTCTTATAATTTTTCCTACCAAGGCTATATATATATATATATATATATATATATATATATATATATATATATATATATATATATATATATATATATATATATATATATATATATATATATATATATATATATATATATATATATAGAGGATTTCTTTGACCATTGTATTTCATTTGTTTCCTTTTATTTTCTTCAATTTCATAATAGTTTTTTAAGACGGTATTTATTTGATCATTTTATTTGTCCTAACTTGGATTTTACACATAATCCAACGTTTGCATTAAGCTTGTGCTCTTTTATAAGTCCCGTCTTTATGTTAATTATAGCTTGGGGTGGGTGTATAGGTAGGGGCAGGCTTATAGGCAGGCTTTGGCTGATAACTGGGGGAGGCAGGTTGGTAGGCTGAGTACTGGGCCTCACCTCATATTCAGCTTGAGCCACGTAACAGGTCGCCGTTCACGGTGTAGGTAACCCTCTGCAAACGACCGTCGGAAGCTGAACATATGGGATCTGAGTATGTATCCATTACGACCTTCGTTGTGGCCGTAGTCGTTGCCGGAGTTTGCGTCGTTCACTGACCAGTCAAAGTTGTACTGGGCAGGACCCTGGAAGTCAAAATGATACACAAGTCAAGTTATAATCGTAGCATCTCATGGAAATAAATAAAAAATATCGTAACTTAAGGACAAGGACAATTTAACGGATTATATAGTTTCTTTTTATCATAATTATATTGAAAAATAAAATCGTAGAGAAAATATGATTCAGTCATAAGATATAAACACACGCGACAACTTACAGTAGGGGCAGGAGCGTTGTAGGAGGGATGTGGAGGGGTGTAGGGGATAGTGTCAGCGATAGTGACGGCCACAAGGACAGCGATGACGAAAACCTGAAAACCACCGAATCATGACGTAATTCAAAGCAAAATAGGACCTCAAGTTTTTTTTTTCAAAGCACAGTGATCACAGCAATATACATCATCCCCATTTGTTTACCTTAAGAACCATGTTGAGGTGTGAGGGAAGAACAAGAGTGGTGTCCACTGATGGACGCGCCAGGTTTATATACGGGAGGCTCCGCCCATCTTGTCGTGACGTTAAATGTAAGAAGGAAAGCAACAGAGACCTTGACCCTGTTAGTGACCAGGGGACTTGGCCACCATTTAACAACTTGCTGAGGAGGCCAGAGAAAAGATAATACATGAGGAGCTTAATGACATCCATCACACTCCTAGAACGAAATCGGTCATATTTCTTTTTAGCATTTGAAGCATCTTGTATCGCTTCACTCATGAGGATGTTCATATGTGTGATTTATGATGAGTGATTTCTATTTTGGAGTTGCACTTTTATAGAGAATCAATGAGTTCTTATGCTTACTTAAGGGGAAAGGGTATATTTTTTATATTTAATAATTTTCTACTTCACATTTGTGCTGTTGCTTTTTGTTATTACTAGTGATTCCTCCGCTGCATCATATACTGACACCCCCTTAAACATCTCATACTGAGTAAGCTAGTGAATATCTTAACAATGCTCAGAAGTAGCCTAGTAAAACTTAAATGCAAAGATTTTTAATATGTGTTTGAATAATTCCAATTAACTGTACGGCATTAAAATACAAGAGGTGGAGTGCTTGTCACAGTTATTGTAAAATCGTGTCATAAGATCAATGTCAGGCTAATTGTGAAACGGACTCCTTCGTATAAATTATGTGTCTCATGTTTAAGATAAAAACATAACTGTTGTAATGGATGCCGATCAAACCTACCAAACCACTATCTTCGGAATTGATGTCTTATTGTGGATAAATAGTTGATCAGCTTTTATTTACATATCTGGTGCTAATTTGTTTCCAGCTGTGAATGAGTGAATTTGTTGTTCACCTCATTTTGGGGTGTATTTTGAGTTAATGCCAAAGTAATAAGTTTAGAGTTTGAAGACAACTGGTAAAATAAATTATACAGTTGTGTACCTTTTCATAAATCGAAATATGACTAAATCGGCTTTGACCACCGAGCTATTTATATTTTGAGTAGAAATTAAAAAACTTGCAATTTTTGCATTTTTGTATTCTATATAACGACATTTTATGAGAGAGTCAGGTTACCAGAAAGGTTTTAAGAACTTTACCAAGGTGGTCATGTCTTCCTTGTTCCTGTTTATGGACATGAGTTCCCTACAGGCTACCTGGCCCCTGGTGTACGCCTCTCTCCTCTCCTTTCAGTAAACATTTTGTGCTGCTTCAGTTGTCATCCTCACACACCTCTCTACTGACTGTGTGTGTGAGGGCCATGCAGGAACTTCCATTGGTCTATCCAGAAACTCCATGATTGCAGCAGTGGTGAGGGAACAAGTCAGTGGAGGCTCGGTTACTCCAGAGTTCCATTCAATAAGCTCCGAGAGTTTCGTGGATTATGGGTTAACGTCAGGAGTCCTCCTGGATCTGACACTGCATTCTCCTACTTGTGTGTCCTTATCTCCTTCACCTCTGATTTCCAGTATCCTTTTCACAGCTTTCCTCCTCTCCTCCTCCACCTCATTGCACAGTATGGCCTGGAGCACAGCCTCAGAGTGTGCATACCATGCTGATATCTTTTCTGTAGGCATCACTATTCCTACCACATCCTTCGTCGGACCCTTTGAGCAGTTTCAGCTGGCACAGTACATGCTTGGGACCCTCCACCCAGCTCTGATTTAACTATGAATTCCACAATTTTCCTCAGATGTTTCAGGCCTTCAGCTCATGTTTGGAAATCCACAATTTGCAGAACCTTAGAGCAGTGGTGAGCCACCTACTGTGACAGACTGGCCCAATCTCCAAGAGAGCTAGACTCTGAGTTACCTCTCCTGATCTGATGGCAGTGATGATTCTGTAGCCATATGTTTGGTCTGTGCTGAGATCCTTGACTACCTCCTGAGCGAGATTGGGTAGAGGAGGACCAACAGTGATCCTCGTGAAGTTTCGGTTGATCTCCAGTTCAATGGCAGTGTCTACCACCTTCCCTAGGGGCCCGACCTCCTGTTGTTGCTCAATGTCTCTTCATCCAGTACAGTCACTAGGTGTCTGAGACTCAACTCCCCTGTGTGCAAGTCACAGACAATCCACACCAACTTCCTGCCGAGCTTGCCCTCCACATAATGCATTACTCCTCCCTCCCAGCCAGTATTCACATTCGTGCTATCACCTCCTATGGCCAAAAGGATCTGGTCTGCTCCTCTCTCTTTTAGCCAGTTCACTAAATGATCAACAATGACCTCAGCCTTGACTTCTCTCCTCTGGCAGCTTCCTCTGGTATAAAAATGCCACAAGTGTTTCCCGCCTGGTTCATTGCACTGTGTAGTGTGTTTCTTTAATTAAGCATTTACTTAAAACAATGAAGGAAGAATGTTGAAATATACATATTATCTAAGATTATAGATCTAAAAATTTATATCAATATTATGATCAGTGAGGGTTTTTCGACAACGATTTAGATGAACTAAGCTGTGAATAGAATGAATATTCTAATACAAGTTGGATGAAAACTTAAACCTCGTACTATATACAGCACAGGGTGATTCAGCAAAGAGTACATTAAATTGGAGGATGAAATCCTTGGATAATTCTAAACCATAATGGCTCTTTGGAAAATGTCAGATTCCGCATAGTTTCCATGTTACAATACATTTAAGGAGTTGTATTAATGAGAGTGAATTTGATGTGAACCCCCCCCCCTCCCATGTAACTGCCTTTATTTCATTCGGTTGTACACGGTCCCTGTCTCATTGCACCTGTGTCAGCCATCTGTATCACGCTGTACTGTACTGCTGTACATAAGACACCTGTGAATAAATGATTACCAAAACCTACGGGGGTTTCACATCAAATTCACTCTCATTAATACAACATCTTAAATGTATTGTAGTATGGAAACTATGCAGAATCTGACATTTTTCCAAAGAGACATTATGGTTTAGAATTATCCAAGGATTTCATCCTCCAATGTCTTACTCTTTATCCTGCTATAAAAGTATTTAATTATAAGGACCCTAAGAGTATTGAAGCGGATAATGTAAATAGTGTGTATATGAGGAAGTCAACTGCGTGTGTTCAGCGAGGTTATCATCAGCTATACGAGAATTACAAATATTAAATATATGTTTCATATCTCTCATCCATCAGGCAGTGCTTTTAGCTCTTATAATTTTTCCTACCAAGGCTAAAATACGTCTAATATTTTTCATATATATAGGCTATATATATATATATATATATATATATATATATATATATATATATATATATATATATATATATATATATATATATATATATATATAGAGGTTTCTTTTGACCATTGTATTTATTTGTTTCTTTTATTTTCTTCAATTTCATAATAGTTTTTAAGACGGTATTTATTTGATCATTTTATTTGTCTAATAGTTTACACATAATCCAACGTTTGCATTAGAAAGCAGCGCTCTTTTATAAGTCCGTCTTTATGTTAATTATAGCTTGGGGTGGGCGTATAGGTAGGGGCAGGTCTATAGGGAGGCGCTGGCTGATAACTGGGGGCGGGTTGGTAGGCTGAGTACTGGGCCTCACCCTCATATTCAACTTGAGCCACGTAACCGGAGTCGCCGTTCACGGTGTAGGTAACCCTCTGCAAACGACCGTCGGGAAGCTGAACATAATAGGATCCCTGAGTATCGTATCCATTACGACCTTCGTTGTGGCCGTAGTCGTTGCCGGAGTTTGCGTCGTTCACTGACCAGTCAAAGTTGTACTGGGCAGGACCCTGGAAGTCAAAATGATACACAAGTCAAGTTATAATCGTAGCATCTCATGGAAATAAATAAAAAATATCGTAACTTAAGGACAAGGACAATTTAACGGATTATATAGTTTCTTTTTATCATAATTATATTGAAAAATAAAATCGTAGAGAAAATATGATTCAGTCATAAGATATAAACACACGCGACAACTTACAGTAGGGGCAGGAGCGTTGTAGGAGGGATGTGGAGGGGTGTAGGGGATAGTGTCAGCGATAGTGACGGCCACAAGGACAGCGATGACGAAAACCTGAAAACCACCGAATCATGACGTAATTCAAAGCAAAATAGGACCAAGTTTTTTTTTTCAAATCACAGTGATCACAGCAATATACATCATCCCCATTTGTTTACCTTAAGAACCATGTTGAGGTGTGAGGGAAGAACGAGACTGGTGTCCACTGATGGACGCGCCAGGTTTATATACCGGAGGCTCAGCCCATCTTGTCGTGACGCTAAATGTAAGAGGGAAAGCAACAGAGACCTTGACCCTGTTAGTGACCAGGGGACTTGGCCACCATTTAACAACTTGCTGAGGAGGCCAGAGAAAAGATCATACATGAGGAGCTTAATGACATCCATCACACTCCTTGAACGAAATCGGTCATATTTCTTTTTAGCATTTGAAGCATCTTGTATCGCTTCACTCATGAGGATGTTCATATGTGTGATTTATGATTGAGTGATTTCTATTTTGGAGTTGCACTTTTATAGAGAATCAATGAGTTCTTATGCTTACTTATGGGGAAAGGGTATATTTTTTATATTTAATAATTTTCTACTTCACATTTGTGCTGTTGCTTTTTGTTATTACTAGTGATTCCTCCGCTGCATCATATACTGACACCCCCTTAAACATCTCATACTGAGTAAGCTAGTGAATATCTTAACAATGCTCAGAAGCAGCCTAGTAAAACTTAAATGCAAAGATTTTTAATATGTGTTTGAATAATTCCAATTAAATGTACGGCATTAAAATACAAGAGGTGGAGTGCTTGTCACAGTTATTGTAAAATCGTGTCATAAGACCAATGTCAGGCTAATTGTGAAACGGACTCCTTCGTGTAAATTATGTGTCTCATGTTTAAGATAAAAACATAACTGTTGTAATGGATGCCGATCAAACCTACCAAACCACTATCTTCGGAATTGATGTCTTATTGTGG